AAATGTTACTTCAGTTGCACAAACTGGTTTCACAAGGACACATATCGTCCATATCAGGGGCAATAAGATGCGCTCTGGTGGCGCGTCTTCGCCTCCTTTCGTCTGGGCTCTCGTCGCTCTCCGCAGTCACGCCTCTTACCGCCCTCAGATATGGACTGTGTAACAGATCACATTGAAAGACTGCGTGAATAACATTCGAAGAAACTTAATGGAGTTTCCAAGTTCTCTTTCATTTGAATACCCTAAAAGGAATTAAATATTTATTACAAGTAGATATAGCACAGATCATATTTGATTTAGTCAAATGGCGGCAGACCAAATTCTTCCGGACGAAACTCGGTGAGACTACGAAGCACTTTGGTAACACTGCAATAGAAGAGATTAGTGAAAGCTCAAAAAGAATAGGATTTCGTGTAATGGTCGCTCATTTTAGAATGCGCCAGGAATTTTACTTCCCATTACTAATTACATGTGATAGCACTTCAAACGCTATTCGTGCTGTGAAATGCGGTGGCTTGAGGGATAGACATGGTTGGCCGTAGCTTGATTCGGTCTGAAGTTTGACTACGATATAGTGCTCTGCAGCGGTAACTTTGCCACGACTTTTCTCGGCCCCAGCAATAAGAACTGAGAGGAGACCCACGGCTGTTATGCAGTCCCTATGGATGCGCTCTTCTTCCTTATCGTGTTAAAGGCACGATCCATAATCAGGATAAGGATAAAGGATAAAGTCTTCGCCGTTGATCAATCCCTTTGTGGGATGCGGCACGCATTCTACTTCCATTCAGAATCGTAGTGGCTTATTGAATGCGATGTGGCCTATACAATGACTTGCGGTGGCCAGCCGATGTACAAGTCAGTGTTTTATCCTCCCAGACGAATCTGGTACCAATTTACCGTCCCCGGAGGGTAGAAGGCTTGGTCTGGGCGGGAGTCGACCCGGGATTTGAACCCGGCGCCGCGCGAGTGGTAAGCGCGCCACTTGTCACTACACCACCTCCGCCTCCATCAATCAGGTATAGAAGTTGTAAATATGGTGTCGGAAGGGTAGTGTGGTCCGCGACGAACAACCTTGTACCGGTTTCGCATCAAAAAATTGTAAAGGGAGGGGCGCTATAGCGCAATATAGGTTCAGTGACGCCTCCTTTTTTCCAGTGACTCCGCCTCCAGACTCCGCCCTCAAGGCCCGCCTTTCAGTGAAAAACGAAGCTGCAGGACGAAAAAGCATGAAAATCGTCACTTGTACGGTCGTAGAGTTCTTATCGAAATGTGCGGAGAGGGCATAATGTTGAAGATGGAGTTAATTGGGCACGTACAAACTGGGATCGGAATGGGGTTCTATTTAGGGCAGTCGGCACGTTTTTTCTGCACTTTTGTTCATTATCGATTTACTCAACAACTTGTCGTCTAAATGCAAACTCCCGATTCACTATCTGTGATCGCGAATGAATCTTGGCGTTTGAAGAAAGAGCGCCCTAGTGAGGAACACACTAGTGTGAGTCTTCATCCATTCGGTCACCGAGAATATGCCTTTAGTCATGGAAGCCGATTCGGTGAGGGATGGCTTTTATCCAGCTACAACGACGTAGAGCTTTTCACGACATACTGACGCCAAGAGTGTTCCATGTTTAAACATTCGCCATTTACTGACACTCTGACAAGCTCAGCAGCGCTCGATCTGAAGACCACAACCAGGGCAGCACTTTCTTTATCCGCACCAAGACTTATTTTTCTAATGGATCAGTTAGCTGGTACATGGTCCGTTTGGATGAATAGAAGCAATGGCTTGAACGTTGTGTGGGCCTAGCAAGTTGTTGCATGACGTCATGCGCTTCCAATTGTAACTACGACTCTGATGTGAAATCGAACGCATGGCGCACTTGAAAAAGGTATAGATCAGTTCTATACAGCCGTTATCATAAAGTCAGTCGGGGCAGTGGGCATATATTTCGCCGCGGAGCCTGCCTTTCCCATCGATCATTGCGGCCTCGGACGTTGAATAAGTGGTGGGAAAGGCGCCGTCGGCGCGCCCAAACGGACGCGCCGCTGACACGCCCCGACTGGCTTCTGTGATAACGACAGCTTGAACACAACGGATTTTCCTGCATGCTGGCTTGAATCCAATCTTTTTGCAGACTTTGTAACACTCTATATAGAAAACTATCACACATGTAAAACTCAAAAAAGTACACCATGCATGAACGTAAAATCTACCCGATCTGAAGCGCTTCTTGCCGATGGCTCTCGGCAGGCACCATGACACATTTCATACCAGCTGCCTTTGCTGCTCTACCTCCGTTTGGTGCATCTTCAAATACAAGCACATCGGAAGGGGATTTAGGTTTCACTGGAAACCTGAAACAGTCATGACAACGGTCACATCGGAAAAGTACAATATGGACATTCTGGTTATTCTCGAGACTACCAATCAGTGTAAGCTAATATAACCCCGACGTTAAAAGCGCAGATAGTTGGCACTGAACGAGAAGAGTCGACGCACTGGCCCAGAAGTGCCAGCGGTCTACTGCTTCAGCGCTTATCAGTTGCGGCCAGATAGCGAGGATTCATTATTTCCGTTCATGCGGCAAATGTCAAACTGTCCCAAAGGAGCGGTCCCTCCCAACAACTAAACAGATGATAATCTAGAGATCGTGCCGCACTCTAAGTTTTTGAAACCAAGAAGCTTAAACGGATACTCCACGCTATTTGCTAAGGGGGAGCCATCTGGAAGAAGATGGTAAGTAGGAGCAAAGCACCAGCGATGTCGATAACCGCAACCTCCAGGTGACTCCACCCAAGCAGTCGGAGCTGAATGGAGCTTTCACGAAGTGGACAGAAACTCTAATTCTCTTCCAGGTCTTTGATTTCAGAAATTCCTCTCTGTCGCACTCAAATCCGTATGAGCTACAGTCACGTTCTCTAGACCTCTTACAAGTGCTTTCGTTTCATATTCATCATTTATCGACATGTGAAGAAACTTTCACAGAAAGTAATACATACCTATTCATCGTGGCTAGGTAAGGTTCCGGATGTGGTTTCCCTCTCTTGATTTCTGGCTCATCACCACAAAACACCTTTAAACAAAATAAGATTGAGGAGCAGATCGGGATATTCGCTAAGCGAAAGCTACCAGATTGGAACTAGTTCTCTCAAGAGGAAGAAATTATTCCAAAAACACGGCACAAAGATGTGAACTGTTGCTTTCGAATCAAGGAGCTTCCACACGAACTCTGCGGACTGAACGTTCTAGCGGCGTTTGCGCGATGGGTACTTCTTTGCACGCTCATCGCCAGCGGCGTTGTTGCGGGGCAAGGGCAACCGAGAAGCCTCAACAAAAGCACGACACACCCAGAATACTGCGAGTAGGGTCCAGAGAGAGAGAGAGAGGAGAGAGAGAGAGAGGGAGAGGAGATGCAGACACCAGCCTGTCCTTTAGTTGATTTACTTACTCGGTGTCTCGTCCCAGTATGTCGCCCATTCTATCTGTCTGTCTGTCTGTCTATCTATCTACCTCGCCTTTGATCGATTCTCTCATGGGATAGGGTACGCATTCTCCTTTCACCAAGGATCGTAGTGGCCAGTCGATGCACATGTCAAAGTTCTTACCCTCAGACGGATCTGCTACCAATTAACCGTACCCGGAGGACAGAACGGCTTGGTTGGCCTGGACAGAAGCCGATCCGCGCACCACCACCGCTTCTGTCTATCAAAGATCCTTATTAGCTGCCATCAGTTATCGTCCAGTAATGTTTCTGCCGCATACCCCGTAATGTCTTGGAATCAACATCACATCGGCAGATCCCTCCTTATCTCTGAGAGGAGTAGGCGTGGCATTTGAACATGGCACGGGATGGGTTACTCGTGGGATATTCAGTCTGAGACAACTGTCATCTTGTTCTGCGTTGGATGAAGGCATGATTACAACTGTCCCAAAATGAAAATATCTTCTAAAATACCTTGAGCGCTGATCTCTTTGACTCAAGAACGCAGTCACGCCCACAGCATCTCAGGCGGTTGAGTGTAGGTATAATAAGGCTAGTTAGGCCCTATGCGCCTTAGGAAGGACTATTTTCCAGTAAGGTGTAGCCACGTTATGTTCTGATGCAACAAAGCTACTGCCATGACATGCCTTGCTATCATGGCGAGAGAACGCAGACAAACAGACATGACGTGGCTTCGACTTGTTGGGGAGTGGAATCCAGCGAAGCACACAATTTTTTTCCCAGTACACACCAGTTACGCGAGCACACTACTTTGGTTCCTCAATTAACGCTTAGAGGCACGCCTCGCGTTTATTTGATGCCAGACGCCTTCTTTTGGCATGATAGTCGTGCCTCCAGGCATGCAGAATATACTACTTTCGCAGCTGAAAAATACGTAAGCGCGGCCCACCCACGACGCGCTCACAGCCCCGCCCATTGCCCACGGCACGCCATTCCTTTTAGCTGCTATTCGACGCTGCGGTTGTTCCTCCATTTCGAATGGTGAGAAC